GATTCTACCAACTTTTCCCAGGATTCTTCCCGTTTCATGCTGGCGTCGTCCTTTATCCGGCATGTGTTGGATGCTGTTTGGTAGATTGGACAGAGACGTAATGGAAGCACACATGATCCAGCAAGATGTGTTCTTCATTGTTCAGAATAAATCTCAAAAAACATGCACATCCCTAGGGCTCCAACCACCTCCTGAGAAGATGGTTGGGTGGGTCTGGAGGGTCTAAACGCCTTCTGAGGATATGGTTGGAGCCCTATAGGGCATATTGAACAAAAACATGTCAACATGTGTTCAGTTTATGGGACGGCGATGGATTCCGATGTGTGCATGAAGGGCGGGAAAACATGCATCTTGCTTCTATGCATAGCTGGTGCGGAGCGTGCTGCGGCTCAGGGGTTGGATGCCGCGCACGGTGTGTTGTGCGGCCACTTGGATGTCTTTTCATCAAACATGTTCTCTCATACGAGGCTTCTTTAGTTCGCTAGGGGGTGGGGTGGGCGTAATCACGTTCGATACGCTCTTTTCTGGTCGTATGCTTGAAGTTAAGAGTGTACCAATGGCTTTGGCGCCGAAACCTGAAGGTTACCACAGAACTCACACATGATGAGATGCTCAAGCAGGTAGCTGCTGCCTGCAAACTGCGCAGTCAGAACATGTGCGTGGTGCTGAGGTGGGGGGTGCAGGACGTCGAACTCATTAGTTTCGGGCGACCCCCTTTCACGGCTTTTTGAACCGTAATATACGGTAATCATAATTTTCTTTGTGCTTTGGCGACCCATGCTGCTGCCATCCACAGGGGTCTGACGGATGTTGTACCCATATAGTCACACATGTGTATATATATATGTAATGTATGAGTACCTATTCTCTCAATATATATGTATATACGATAATATATATATATTACTATAATATATGTATTTATTCTTAATTATTTGACCTTAAACCCTTGGAGATGACACTCAAATCCTACAAGACCGCTGTTTTTCATGAGGATGCATGTAGTGTAAATCATGCCAACGTCTCTTCCAACGACTTCAGCTCCACACTGTCCCGACTTCCATCCATCCTGCAAACGGTGCCCGTTTGAACCGAGTGGCCCAGTCGATCACGCCATGCTTCCCGTAGGCTGCAGCCATGGCAGCTAGGCGGTCAAACCCGAGAACTGAGCCGCGCACATGAGAGCTTTCTGAGAACATGGATGTTGAAAGGTCTGAAGAGATGAGGCGAGTCATCGCGATTTCCTGCAGTTGGAAGTTGAAGGGTCGCTGCATGGTCTTGCGATGCAGGGGTGGCCTCCCATAGGGGTCGACATGACTGCTGATGAATCTTGTGAGCGAAGCTCCATATTGCATCCAATTGGAAAACAAACGGCACAGTCAAGTACTCGGTGATTGCGATCACATCAGCACAGCTATCTCACTGTTCCAATCGAAGGCTTGTCGAACCATGGTCCACTGTTCACCACAAGCCACTGCGACTGGGGTGACTCAGACTCGCTCTCACTAAGACTCGCTCTCTCGCTACCTCACTCACCGCGAAGCATGAGGCATCGACTGGTCCCGACGTCGGAAGGTGCTTTCAAGCGATGGGCTGCTAAATGCTTCACGCTTCAGCCCGGGAAGGTTCTGTCGTTAAATCAAACTATGGCCAAGCATGCCCATGTACAGATTGACCCCTCTTCAACCACCCCAATGATCATATATGCATACTGCCATATTACAGCTGCAATGGAGTGTCTGGGAGACTTCCGAGCTCGCTTTCTGAAGACTCTGTCGTTGATCTTTCGGCAAGCAAGTGCAACTTCTCTTGCACCATGACGGGGGTTTGGAACAAACCTCCTAATAGCGGGAGTGGATGGCCCCACGGCCCAGCATGGCCGGCATGCCACCGCCTGCCAGTCAGAAAGACATGAGCACCCTGGAGTGTGCAGACCGACCCCTTCTCTTCATGGCATTCATGTCAAAAAGCACCCTGGAACCCATGGATGAGAAACCCCCCATGCGACCCAACGCGGACCCACCTCGCGGGTCATTGGTTCCACTACACTGCCCCCCGAAACTCGGGGTTCGAACCCGTCTCCTGTGTCGTTGGCGCCCCACGTGAGCACGTAGGTCGGCATGGTGACATCGGACATCGGTCGGTGTTACAAGCGAAAAGCTGGAATGTCTAGGGATCTACTTGCCAACCTCAGATGGCGCCAATCCAGGAGGTGCCAATGAATTTCTATGTATGCTTTCTTACTTTGCGTTTGCCCAACCATTGTCACTGCTTGGAGAAATTGCTGGTGGATGAACTATCGAGGGCATGTTCATTTGTTGCAGAAGAGAACTCTTTTCCGCTGGACCGCCTCATTGGCTTTTCAGGGGAATCTCCCCGATCACATTGGAGCTCCGTAACACACCTTATGGCGTGAGCACGCCATGAGGTTCTGCATCATGTGGAGCTCAAGGGCTGAGCTCAAAGACCCCCCGTCTCATCATGGACATTTAAGTAAAGCTGCCGGAGCCAGGACTTCGCGTGGCGCGACACCGGGCGCCTTTTTTTGCGTGCGGGTTGCGCCCCAACTCACCCCACGATGCGCGGGTTGCGCCAGGTCTATTGGTACCGTCCCAGCGCGTAAACTTCTGAAGGGGCTGATGTGACAAAATGGTAGTCAACTGATGGAAAGTAAAGCATGGCATCTTTATCATTGCGTGTGGTGTCTGATAGAAGTAGGTTTCAGGGTTTCACTGCATCTCATGGCCCACCTACGCACCTGCGTTCTCTAGCAAAACACATCCTAACCCTCTCTGACATGGTGTCTATATCTGACTAATTCTGACCATTTCACCCACAAACGCGAGAAGCAACCAAAAAACTAACCGTTTGGCTGTTTTTATTTTTCACTCACCAGCTGAACAACCAGCTGGTCGAAGGCTATTTGCGACTTCTCCGACCACCAAGACCGGTGTTCATCCGCCTAGGGATGCCTGGGGGATGTGTAGAATGTCAAGTCAAGACTCTACAAATGACAGATCTGCCCCAATCTTCCCTGCTCAACGCCTTCCGAAGCCAAGAAAAAAACCGTAGGCCCAAACGACTTCCAAAAGCTCCACAAATCTTTCCAGCAAACCCAAAAAGGAAGTGACTTTTTCTACGAAACTGGCATACCTTCACGAACTCCGGCATACCGAACGGGGTTCCACCATCTGGCATGGACTGCACACGTGGCCAGTGGTCTCAGCCTCACCCTTCGGTTCCGCTTCCCTCCCATCTCCGCGGGACGATACGGACGTGTCACCGAAGCACCTCGATCTGCCAAGTCTGAAAACCACAGGGCGAGTCATCCTCGCTGAGGTACACGCCCCGGCGCCATTCGATGCGCAAACCTCGGTCTGTTGGTTCAGTCGAGGCGCCACCCGCGCCGCTTGGTGGCGGTGTCAGAGTGAAATGGAGAGACCAAACGTTCCACCTGTTTTGGCTTAGGGGCGGAAATCACCAATCCCCAAGAATGGTATTCCACGTATATTCCTGGGTAGGATGAGATGGTGCCAACTCCAGGAGCTTGAGTGGGTGGCGCGGTGATGAAAGTTTCATTGGCTGCAACATTAAATTTGTTTCTATTGCTTGAATGTGTGCTTTAGCAAGGTTGCTCCCTGTAGGGTTTTGGGAAGGTTCCGAGCAGTGTAGTCCCCTCATGCCTCGGAGGGTGCAGTTTTTTTATAGTTTAGTCCTGCGTCTTTGGGGTTTGGTTTACTTGGTTTGGCTTAGAACAGCGGGTTAGGGGGTTGGGTGCCTCCCCTGAAGAACAAACCAAATGTCCCACCAAAAAGCGACAACAACACAAACACGAAGAGAGCTTATCAAAACCGTACCGAGAACCAGCGATGGCCGATGAACATCCACCACCAAGTGCGCATGCGTTCGCCACCGATGAGCATGACTCCGCAGAGACGCCCAGAGACGCCAGGCACAAACACCAAAAGCTCAACAGAACAAGAATTCCTGCAGGTGATCGTCGATCCACTAAGTGACTAAGCCCTCATTTGGGCTCCATTTGCGGCGTGAAGAGGGAGTTTGGCCGATCCGACTTGGCAAGCATAGATCAGTCGTTCCAGGAAGTCGAACGGCTTTCGCGCAAACCGGCAGCTTGGTTTCTTCGAAAAAGCCACGCGGCCCGGGGAAACCCGCGAACGCTGGGGGACCGAGTGCCGCCAAGTCACTGGAGGCGAGGTAGGAATTGAAGTCCCGAAAGGCTGGAACCTGCATCGTGCCAATGGACGACCTTCTTTCCCCGTCCCCGTGGCCCCCTCATTGATGACCTGGAACCAGCGGATGACCGCAGTTGGAAAAGAAACTTCTTGCAGGGAAGGTCATGATCTATTTTATATTCCATCACAGATCTTATATCGATTTACGAGTATGCCTGTCGGTCTAGCTGTCAATCTTCTCAGTCAACAAAAACAACATGAGCCGCCTCGCCACACCTTGCCCAGGTGTTCCCAGCAAGATTGTGCCCAGCTAGGACTGAATGGATGAAACAGTCGATTAATAACCCCTCCATCTGAATTGAACCACCTCTTCAAATGAGGGACTTAGTGATCAAGAGTCTACAATATTCTTTTGTGCGGACGTCTGCCGGTAGCTAATTATGGTGAAACATGCTGACCCTAACAGGAACGGAATGGGGTGTCTGATGTGACTCAGGAAGTTGCCTGGGCTCTTGTCTTTATGCCTGCAATTGACCCCGGCCGTTGCGTGTGTGTTGATAGGAAAAGACCATAATATGGTCTCAGTCAGGTAGTTGCTGATCCAAAATCGAGGTCTTAGAAGTTTTACCAGTTTTCCGCACGTCCTCACGAGATTTTTGATCGATACACCTGGGGAGTCTGGGATCTGTTCGCAGCATTCCACAACTAACATGCTATTATTGCACGATAGTCGTTCACAAGCACCTCTTCGTTCACGACCACGATGACTACAAGAACCCTAGTAGGGTAGAACAGCTTAGGCCGACAAAATATTTCCATTCTTCAGCAAGCCACTCTCCTACAACACCAGGTGGGTCAACTGTGGCTACCTTGCTCTCTCCGCTCAACCTCTGCACAAAACCCCCCCCGCCGAACCCCGCCACGGGGGCACTGCCTCTGCCGGGACCATCGAAGGGCTGCAAAAGCGGACGCCTCCATGGCTATCGCCTTAGGCAACCGCTCTTGCGGAGCGACGCGATGCTTTTTGTTCGAGACGAAGACGACTTCGTGGGCGACATGTTCCGTTTGCGGAAGTGTTCGTCTGACGAAGAAGACGTTAAACGAACAAGGTGACCAGGTTGAACATGAAGGGCGACCCGATTTCATGGGACGGTCCTTGACTGACAGTGAGGCAATCGAAAAAGGTATTAAAAAAATAGGGAAACCTCGCAGTTCAAATTGGAAGAAGGAGCACCAGTCCACCCCAGGGGCGAGAAAGGGAGGTCTCCCTATTCAAATATATATAACTCATTTTGGTCACTCAAGGAGCTCAGTATGCCACGACGATCAGACTTTCCACTTATGGATCGCTTCCTCAACACAGAAAGTTCATTGTCTTGCTACCCTAAGCATCATTGGACCCTCCTATGGAGGGTTTTCACCCTGCATAGCAGGTTTTTGGACCCTCAAAACCTTCACCTCTGATATAATTAGGGTAGGCCTTTTTTTAAATCTTATGTATAGTTATTCTCGTCTAGTATACTCAAAGGACCTTTGATGCTCCATCATCCTATCATTGTCACACTCACCCCTGACACCATCCCAATCCCAAATCGAGTGCCCGGTATAGAGACGTTCTTGAAGGGAGCTCCAGAGCGACTCTGGTTCCAAGATCCTTTGCACAATGCTAGGACCCCCTTGAATGGGTGTCTTCAACTTTGACTCCCCATATAGAGTGTCTAGGTGTCTCAAAAAACCGCTAACGACTTGCGGAGAACCGTGGTGTCGCGTCCACCGCGGGACCGGGCGGCCTTCGAAGGTCTCGCAACGGCGCCGGGACCTTCCGTAGCGTCAGATCGCTCTGTTCGTAGCGCCCTTGGCTACTACCCAAAGGCTCCATGGGACTGCCATAGGACTGCCGATCAGTTGGGGGTGGTTGACTGGGAGGTCAAGGGGGAGGCATCTGCAGTCCCATGGAGTGTAAGGGTAGTAGCCTCCTTGTCCCGA